GGTAAAGGTGTGGTTGTTGATTCTTGAAATTACAACTTTTATACATATACACAGACAGTACCTTTCGATATAAGAAAAATAAGCATGAATGATATGCATTAAACATATTAGTAACGACATAGTATGAAAAAACAAATGAAATAAATAGGCGAATGGGTAAACAAATAATAAATAATCAAGTTAGTAAACTGTGCAACAAATAATCATTCAAATGGATAAATAAATAAAACGAAATGGAATGAATAAAAATTAAATTTTTTACAGTATTTGTTCGCAATCTTTTTCTTTACTCGACTAAATAAATGAAACCTGTAAAATATTCATTTTTCTCTTCCAAATTTTCCTTCTCTTTTCCATTTCTTCATCCACATCCAATCTCTCTGCCTTCCCTTTCAATTCTTCTTGGCATATTCTAATTCCCGTTCAATTTTCTCAACAGTGGCCCCTTTTTTAAGTAAAAGGTTCGTAAATTGGCAAGCATGAAAAATTAATTATTTTTATTTTTTGTTGTTGTGTACATATATTTATTCAGCTTAAGATTTTTCAAGCCTTATTTTATTCATTTTATCATAGATGTGACCCTTATAGGTTTATATTGAAGCATGAAACCAAGAAAGAGCCCAACCAACAACCACAAAAAAAATTTTTTGTGGTAAAAGTAAGCAATTTTGTTAAATGTTGTTTTTTCTAAGAAAAAGTTATAGAAAAGACAATTGTAAAGATGTTTGCAGTTTCATTTTTCAAATTTTATAATTTTCAATATTAATTTTTTATTTCAAGTTTTTGTTTAATATCGATCGCCAAAAACTTCTTTTACCTATTTTATAAATTTTTTGGGATTGACTGTTAAAAATAAATTGAACAAAAATGCTCTTGAAAAAGTGTGAGTAATCTTTTTGCCACCAAATTTGATCCGTGTAATTCCCCGTGGACATAATAACTAGATTACGACGAGTTTAAGTTTGGTGATAAATCACATTCAAAAATATTTACAATATCACATTTTGACAAAACACTAATACAATTATGATGATGTTCACACTTAAAAATTTTTCTTTCCCCTTGACAATATATAACAAGTTTTGATTAAACTTTCTTTTAACAAACAGGAATTTGCTATTTTGGATATTTTTGGTAAAATATTCGCTATTG